AGTTTGGTCCATACTTTTCCCCTTTTCATTATAATCCCTTTTCTGGGGATATGGTGTGAATCTCTGACTATTAGAATTTGAAGATTGATAACCTTCACGATAATAAAAATGATTTCTTCGTCGACCATATTCGCCATTATGACCATTTCGATTACCTCAACCATATTCATTGCAATTTCGACCACCACGACCATATTCATTACCACGCCCACGTCCACGTCCTCGTCCACGAAGCGAGGCAACGTATGTTTCAGGGATCGATGTCGATCTAGTTGGACCAGACTGGTGATTTCTTAACAAAAGCTCGTTATTTTGCTCAGCTACAAGTAAACATGATATTAGCTCTAAATATTTTTCAAATCTACGCTCTCGATATTGTTGCTGTAAAAGGATATTCGAGGCGTGAAATGTGGTGCATGTTTTTTTCCGAACAGGAGCTCATCAATGACAGTATCACCACATAATTTTAGTTTAGAGATGATTTTAAATAGAGCAGAGTTATATTCAGCCACAGTTTTGAAATCCTGTAATCGCAGCTCCTGCTAATCGGCTCAAGCTTTTGGGAGAATAACAATTTTCTGATGATCATATATTTCTTTCAAATTTTTTCACAAATTCGGTGAATCTCTTTCAGTGATGTATTCAGTTTTTTGTTACTCACTAATATGGCGACGAAGAAAAATCATGGCTTTTGCCTTATCTTGTGATGATGCATCATTTTTTTCTTGAATTGTGATTTCAAGACCCTTAGCATCTAAATGGATCTGAGCATCCAGAATCCAAGATAAATAATTTTTGTCGGAAATGTCCAGAGTCACGAATTCCAACTTTGTCAAGTTTGACATTTTCAGAATAACTAGATGTAATAACAATATAAGAACACAATTTTACCATGGCATTAAGTAAAACAATATGGTCTATTATAATTTAAGCAATAAAGACGGTAAAACCAGCTATTAAATCATCAATTGATAAAGGTGGTTAAACCGATCATTAAATAATAAAGGCGGAAATAAATAAAATTTTCTTACCCTTTGGAGTGAGCAATACAATATTCTTTAGTAAAACAAGCAAACCTAACAATCTATCAAAACTAATATCACAAAATAGATATATAAAGTTGAGATAGAAAGAGGGAAATAGAACTTATTTTTCAAGTCCCAGATGGTTAGAGCTTGGACCGATAACGTGTTATAAATATATAAAATAATTTAATATAGGGCGAAAGAAAACTGCAAATAAGGAAGAGAGAAATCTACTATGATTTCATTCTTTTCATTCAAGTATATTAACACAATACAACATTACCCCTATTTATAGGGGATGAAACCGACTATAGCCGTCATATGGACCAATAGTATTAAGTTCCTTCTTCACTTCAGTTTTTGGCGCCATCATCACAATTGATCAAGTTGCCTTACAATTCACAATCTCAATTCATGTACTGACATTGCATTAAAGATTGTGGAGCCCACAGGTATTATAACAAGAAAACTATACAATCGAATACAAACTATTACAACATGACCATAAAAGAAAAAAAAAAAAATTAAAAATAAGAAAAAGAAGTTCCTATTGAAAAAGGAGGTTTAATTTAAAATATTTTGATTTTGATTTTTATTACAAAGAAAGATGTGAATTTTGATGATTAAATAGAGAAGCGTGTAAATTTCCGCTATAGTTAAATTTGTTAATGAAATATTTTATAAATGTCCAAATTACCAATTAGAGAAAATGACTCTAATGACATTATTTGCATACCAAATAATCAAAAAAAGATATTCAACAAATAATTTATACTCCGTATAATTCAACAAAATAGACATTGATTAATAATAATTCATCAACGAACTACTAGTTCAAAAAAATTCGTTTTCAGTTGCCCACAAAAAAGTATTTTCAATTGTAAAAAACAATCCAAAAGAATAAAAACAAGAAACGATAATTTTATCCAATTAAATTTGATTGAAATCATCATTTGATATTCTAACAAAATCATTTGAGAATTTTAAAAATATTTTATTAATTAATGTTAGTAATTGTCAAGGGGAGGTCAAGATAAATTTTTATTGGCAAGAAATACCCACACTTCACGTATCCACCACTTTAATAAAAGGGTAAAGTACAGAGACACCCCCTGAGGTTTGGGATAAGGACAAACAAATAAAAGTTTAGCTATTTTTGGACAACCACACCCCCTTGTAAAATTTTTCATCCAAACAAAGACTTAAAACATGTGAAAAATCTATTTTACCCTTCACTATTTTATTAATTTTAATTATAAAATATCAAAATACTTAAATAACCAAATTACCCTCAGTACCTAATCAATTCTACAACCCTACAACGCGTTGCCACCACACTAAAATTCACAACCACCTACCAGCCCCACAACCACCACCAGCCCCACCCCCAAACCACCACCACCATCTCTACCCCAACAACCACCCCTGCATATTCCGGCATGATTTAGCACCGATACCACCACCATCCCATCTCCACCCTCATAACCACCACCATTAACTCATTACCCACAATAAAATCAACACTACAACCCTCACTTATTCACTACCGTCACAGTCGCCGCACTCACCTCATCGGTAATTATGGGCTCCATGGATTCCGTCGACGCCATCGATTTTGGCAGCGATGTGCAGATTGTTCTCATCGGCGAATCGATTCGCATAGTTCAATATCATTGAAAATTAATACCTCACAAAATAAATAATTGAACAAAATACAAATTAACAACGGTCTAAGATCACCACACAAATTACAAAAAATAATAATAATAGTAAATAAAAAATAAAATAGAGGGCACACCATTGAAGATAAGAGCTTCAATTTTGGAATGAAGATGAGGATTCTGTTGGCCAGATTTTGTTGTGACTTGTCGGAGTTCAAAATTGCCAGTTAATTGTTGCAGTCACCTGAGAAAGAGAGAGAACAGCTTGGCGGCGATTTAAGGCAACAACGTTATGGTGGCCGGCAATATACAGCGACAACGGCGACAATATCCATTCGCCATCGCCACACTTATCTCATCGGCGATTATGGGGCTCTATTAGTTGATGGAATCGAAGGCAATCCGCGGATCTAAAGTAGGCCTCGTCAGATTCGAAGGATCTAGAGTTGGCTGAGCTCTCTGCAATGGAATAGCCGGAGCTTTGTAGAGATCATGCGTCGGCGAGAAGTGGGCCATGGCCGTTGGCGGAGCTCCCTGCCATGGACTCGTCAAAGCTCTGTCGGCGGGTTCTTATCTATGTGCGACTTTAGCGTGTCCATCACCACCGTCCTCCTCCTCCTTTGTGAGGTCAAGAAGATACCGAGGTAAACGACGCGCCATCTTTTTCGTTGATTATACATGTGTATATACAAATTATTGAGAAATAAATAAATATATATATATTACCATTGGGATGTCTTTGTCCCAGAATAGGCTAAATTTTATCTGGGTGTCCTTTTAGCAAACCTCATGGGGTGTTGCTTTACTTTACCCTTAATCTATGAAGCACTGACATGTTAATATATAGCACCGTACCAGTGTCGGACACGCGTGTTAGACACGTGAAAAATATATCTCCATTATTTTATATTTTTTTTGGATCAGACACGGCCAGCGACACCTCATGGACACGCCGGAGGACACGTCAATCGCCGATCAAGCTTCAAAAAAAAAAAAAAATTGAAAGAGAAAGAAGAAGATGATATGTGTGTGTGTGTGTGTGTGTGTGTGTGTGTGTGTGTGTGTGTCAATTCTCTATAACAATTGACTTGGGAACGGAGAACGTGAAGGGCAGAGAAGGAGATGGAGTAGATCATGAGACATAGAGGAAAAGGAAGATAAGAACAGGCGATTGAAAAAGAAGGTGAACAGGTGAAGAGATAGCAGAACGAACACAACTCTCTTTTTGATGCGGCACAACACTTTCTCTTTATTAGATGCGGCAGAATGACCTAGAAGGTCTTGGATGTGGCAGATTGACCTAGAAGTTTGCCCTATGGGCCGTCTCTCTGGGCCTACTATGGCCATACATTTTTTGATCATTTCTTTTTGGGCCTATTGACTACAGCTTACTAAAACTTGTTTAGTTGCATGTATTTTTAGCCTAGGCTAAAGCCCACCTAATTATCTACATTATTATATAAAATTGATTAATCTTTCAAAAATAATAAATAAATAAAGAAATATGAGATATATGGCGAGACTAGTTTAAATAGATTATATTTATGAATATAAATGAAAAATTGAGAAAAAAATAATTATATTATTATTTTATTGCCATATCCTTGCCGTGTCTGTGTCCTATTTTTTTAAAATTTGTCGTATCACCGTATCCGTATCGTATCGTACTCGTGTCCCATGTCTGTGTCTATGTCCGTATTCGTGTCCATATTTCATAACCCTTAAGGGTCCGTATATTAGTATTCAGTTACATCATTTATAAATAAATAATAAAAAATAAAATTAAAACTAACATAAAGAGAAAATAAATACTTAAACTTTGATAGTCCACTTTATCAAAAACTTATTTTTCTTATCTTAAAGATCGAGAATGCAAGTTTACACAGGAACAAGTGAATATATATAGAGAGAGGAGAAAACAAAAAAAATTATATTATGATATCACATACTATTCTATTCCATATTTCACTATTTTCTTACTAAAATAAATAATTAAGTATAAATAATATTTATCAAACATAAATTTATTTATTTTTTACTATTTAAAATTATAAAAGTATTTTGGATAAGTAGAATCATTTTCTTTTTCTTTTCATGCTATCTAAACTATTAAAATAATATTTTCTTATAACTTTCTTCAAAATATTTCCTGCTAACCAAATACATGATAGAAACTTGATTTTTCTTTTTTTCACTTTTCATAAAATTTTCTGTCTAACCACACGGACCCTAATCAAAAGATGAAAGGTGAGGTCTATTTCAACATCACAAAGGCAGGAGAAAATATTGGGTGCTCTAAAATGCTAACGGCGTCGTTTAATTGAAGCACACGATGTCCATCCATTTCACGAGGCATCTCTGTCACTCTCACTTGAGTTGAGCCGGAGAATGGCGTCAGAAGCGACGGTATGCGGTGGCGTTTCCATTGCGTCACTCTCGTTCCTCCGCTCTCTCAACCCGTTCCCGAGCCGCGTTTCGTTCCGTACCGTCGAACCTCCACGAGTCCGGTTCTTGCCGTTGGCTGCTGTTAAGAGAAACCCTAAACGTCTGAAATATTCTGCCCCTCGCTTCACCAAGGTTACTTCCTCACTATTACTCTTATCTCTATCTGATCGCATCTTATTTTAGGGTATGTTTTTGTTCTAGACGAGGACCAACTCTGCTTCTAAACCATGTTTTGCTGCTTATCCACAATTTTAATTTTCTGCTTCCAATAATAGGTTTTACGCTTAAACTGACCATCGTTGTAGGTTGCATTTCGTCGACTTGTTGAATTCAATTGAAATTCAGGTGTTCCAAACATTCGCTTAAACAAACAAGGTCTATTTAGGAGTTAAATAAGATTAACTTTTTAAATTTGTTTTTCTAATTCTTTATTGATATTTATGGTTTCTTATTAATATGATCTTTTAAAAAAATATTATTGAAGTGTTAAAAGGGTTTTTTCTATTTTATCAGCTATGGACAATTTTGAACATTTTTTTTCCGTCTTAAAGTATAACTTTACATGTAAAAGTACATGCTAACAATTGATCAATTTAGTGATGAAAATTTTTATTTTAATTTTATTTATCACCGTTAAAACATTACAATTTACATTTTAACAAGTGATCGATTTAGTGATGGAAACAGAAAGTGTTAGATGGAAATGACAAAATCTATGTTAATCAGCCGAAGAAAATTATACCTAGCTGCTCTCTCAATATGATAGAATTTTGATTGAGTTGTCAAAAAGGCATTAAAGATTGAGTAGGTATCAGATGTGAATCCTCATTCTAATCCTGATTTTTTTTTTTTTTAAATATCAGGAGGATGGCTTGCTTTACATTGAAGTTGATCCATCAGGAGCAGATAGTTGGAAATTGGATCCAGTTATCCAATGTCTCAAAGAGGGAGCTGTTGGGGTCATTCCTACTGATACTGTGTATGTTGCTCTCCTTGTTTACCTCCTCCCCCTTAGCTCATACTACATCAGCCATTGGTTTAAATTATTGTATTGATGCGATATTGTTTTTTAGACAAGCTATCAGCATCTTGGTTGAATATAAAAGTTCAATGCTGCCAGATTTCCATCATGATTTCTGAGTCATTGCTTGGTGCCGTGATACTTTGTACAAATAATGCCAAATATTAGGTTTGTAAAATGTTCGTCCCTCTTGGCATCTCCAGTTAACGGGGATCACACGTGGAATGTCCTTTTTTTGTTGATACCAAAAGTAGAAGAATTCCCTTGAAGGTTATCGGAATTTTCTGCATGTTGTTACTAATAAAAAGAACAGAATACAAAACTTAATATATCAAAGAAAAATATGCTTATCATTGTACTGTTTGACGTGTATTGTTGTGATTTGAATGTTGGTGATTACTTCTTCATTCGTTATTTTCTTCATTTGATTTAATGTCTTATTGTCTCCTTTTGATAATTTTCTTCTTATTTAACAACTAAATGTTTTTCTTGTGGATAGGTATGCAATAGCTTGTGATCTGAAAAGCCACTTAGCCATTGAGCGCCTGCGGAGGTAGATGCTATTGTTTCTTTCGGTTGCTTTTAAGATCTTAACTATTAAGTATATACCTTCTTAACTCCTTTAGTGACAATGTGATTGTATCCTGTTTGCAGAATAAAAAGCATAGAAACTTCCAAGGCAAGCATTTTTGATTCCTTCCTGACCCGACTTTATTGTGGTTAAGGATAATTCGTTATGCCATTGAACTAGCCACTGGATAGGACATGTTTAAACACTTGTTGCCTCAGTGACTAGATGGTTTACGCTCTGATTTACATCATTTTTATATGTAGCTGTAGTATTTATGCTTTCTGATGTCCTTGTATTACTTTGCAGCCTCTTAGCATCTTATGTCATTCCTTCCATGACATCGATACGTATACAACCGGATTCCCTCGTGGTAATGGTCAGGGTGTTACAAACATTTTTCGAGACGTTAAGCATTGCTTGCCTGGGCCTGTAAGGATAATTGCTGAAATGATCATCGCCATTATCATCATCATTATTATTTTAACTATATTTTTGAGAAAGAAATATAATTACCCATTTGGTACACCCCAGAGCCAGTCTAACGGAGACAATCCGTTACATGTAGCACACATTCGTGGGAGCAGGACCCGTCATTCAATCTGTTTGCACCTAGCAGCTGGTTATTTCCCCCACCCAAAAAGTTTGATTCCTGTGGTTACCTTCTATTTATTTCTTCTTCTTCTCCCCCCATTATGGGTAGAGAAATTGTCATAAAATTCAAAACCAAGTCCGCAGGGCTGCAACACTATGAATTTTCATGGTTACCATGAAGATATAAAGTTTGTGGGTGCAATCTGTTGAATGTTGGGCCTGTTTCCTTTGCAAGTGTGCGTTCATGCTCGAATGATACTATGACGAAGGTGGACTATATTGCTGATGACTTGGTGTGTTTGGGTACTGTAGGTTCCTCAAACTTCTAAAGCAGAAAATTTGGACTCATAACTTCCCATTCATGTAACAGTATACTTTCATCTTAACTGCAAGTAAAGAACTGCCAAAGCAGTGTACAAGATATGGCACTAAAGTTTCCAAATACGTGTCAAGGAAAAGTGTTGGAGTCCGCATGCCTGATGATGCTGTTTGTCAAGCAATATTGGAGAAGATGGATGCACCTTTGATATCTACAAGGTATTAGTTGATTATTTAACTGCTTTTGTAATTCAGCCTCGTCTTGTTTTCCTCAATATTATTACTAGGCTGCAAATGTAGCTAAATTTCAAATGCTTCCCCATCCTCCATTTAATTGATGATTTAGCAGCTTATTAGTTATAATATGCTTTATCTGCTGGTTGTTCTCTAACATGTTATTATGTTCTTATACTGGATGTATATTACTTGCCTTAGTGTAAAGTCGCCGAAGGAAAATGAGTGGATGATAGATCCTGTTGTAATAGCCGATATATATGGACCAGAGGTATAGTCTCTTTTGTTAAGGCTTATTTAGTTTTATCTAGTGTATGATAACTTTTAAGGTTATTAGTAAGCTGAAACAGTTCGATCCCCATGAAAATTAAAAAATTTGTATTGCATATTCTCTAAATAGTTAAATTACGTGTATCTTCAAATATTTTATAATGATTTTCTTTTGTGTAACACAATTAGGATTCCAAGAAAGATGGCTTATTTTTTAAATTTAAATAAGTTATCGGACAATACCTCAACTCTAAATAAAGTTATTTATTTATTTGATTTGCTCTAATGAGCAACATACTGTTACTGGGATTCACTTGGTTTTCAAAAGACTCCAAGTAGTTGTAATCAGAATCATTTTTATTGTCTTAATTATTGTTCTAGATCTTGACTTGCTCTGTTTAATATATTTAGGGTCTGGATTTTGTCGTCGATGCTGGTGTTAGAGTGGCTGATCCATCTACTGTAGTTGATATGACGGGGAGTTTTCCAAGAATTATTCGGCAAGGAAAGGTAACTAATTCAACTATTTACAATCTGCTATATACTGCACAATTCTAATCACATTTCATGCGCTTCTGTTTTTTGCATCATTCAGTCGTCCAGAATTGGTATGCTCACTGGGAGCAGAATTTCCTTATCTTGATAAATTTATAGTTGGGTTTCAGCATTACCACTTTTTGCATCATCCGGTCATTTCTTTGTATGTAAATACGATCAAGCTTTTGTAAAATGAGCTCGCTCTCTTCAAATATGGGAAATGGGAAAATTTAGAGCAGGATGTAAATCTTGGAATGCTAAACCTTGTCCGCCATTTTTTGGAAAAAGGAATCTTGGCTCTTTTTAAAGCATGTTTGCTGTTTGACAAAGCTAAAAATTTAGTAAAAAGTTTTTGTAATGAATTACTTTTCTCATGACCTTAACAGCTGAATTTGTAAAATTGAATTACTAATCAGTAATTATATAAGCACATTCAGCATAAGTCACGTCTATGTAACTTTAAAATCTGACCTTTTTTAAGTGGGAAATTTTCTAAGTGATTATTGTGTCGTGTCATAAAAAGGAGTTAAAAGAGAAATCATTGAAAAATTTCAAAAAATAAATAAAAAAATAAAAATGATTCTGCTAAGGAGCTTGAAGCCTCGAACACCGTTGTCATTTTTACCTTGTCTATTTGTTTGGGTTGTGTGTGGTTTTGGGTGGGTGGGGGGTTGGACTCATTAATTCCTGTTCATTACATTCTTTTTATATCCTTTTCAATTAAAGGATATCTGACCTTTTTTAAGTGGGAAATTTTCTAAGTGATTATTGTGCATTGAAAAATTTCAATAAGTAAATAAAAATGAGTTTGGGTTGTGTGTGGCTTTTTTTTTTTTTTGGGGGGGGTGGGGGGGGATGGGGGTGGTTACACATTAATTTCATACTCAATTCCTTTTCATTACATTCTTTTTATATCCTTTTCAATTAAAGTGGGAAGGTTTTAGGCACACTATTTTGCAATGGATGAAGTTGAAATGTCAAAAGAGACATGTTTAGTGTAGGAAATATGAATAAAACGATAGAAGCAAAGCTGATATGATGCCGAATCACATATTAAGATGACTTGAAGAGATTTTACAATTATCTAAGATTCTAAATGGAGAAGTTAAATGAAATGAAAAAAAGTTGGTGAACAAACTAAAGAATGATAGGCAAGCCGCTGATTGCGTATAGAAATATGGGATGGTTTAAAAGGCACTCCAACGTAGCGAGCCACTGGCTGGCTGTATGTTTGTTCCCGTGCTTCAGTAATTTGCTTTAGTTTGCTTCTTATTGAATCATATGCTGGTTTTTCCTGGTGACACCAGATGAGGTTTATATATTAATCAAGAAATTCACTTCACTTTTTTTGTGCTATAAATAATTCAATGTATTGCCATTATCTTTATTTCTGTTGAAAGTGATAATCAGTCATTTGCTTTAGTTTGCTTCTTATTGAATCATATGCTGGTTTTTCCTGGTGATACCAGATGAGGTTTGTATATTACTCAAGAAATTCACTTTTTTTGTGCTATAAATAATTCAATGTATTGCCATTATCTTTATTTCTGTTGAAAGTGATAATTGGTTATGGTTAACAGGGGCCTAGACAACAGTGGATGATAGCAGAAGATGAAGATTCTACTTTACATGATGAAGACCTCATCCCTTATGCTACTTAAAAGCGTATCGTGATCTTGGCAAATCTTGTACAGGGTCAGCATACAAGTTAATAACCGATAAACTTGAGTGTGAATAGCTGGTTTTACTTGCTTTGATGTATCATATCCTGGCCTGAGAAAGTACCATAACACGGTTAACACGCGCATCAAAAAGTTGGAAGTAACTAGGATTTGTGACTTGTAAATGCTAGTTTGATGCTTGGTTCAGAAATGGAACAACAGTAGAATTTATTCTGAACATGTTTGTAGAACGCAAATTTGCAAGTGGCATGTGAGAACAATGTGGTCCAATTAAATTGTGACAGCAAATTGGTCTATTGTCCTTAATATGTATTAATCACTGGATAACAAATACTACAGTTTTCTTGTTTTTTCTAACTAGCGGTAGCATAAGATTTAACTTTCAACGCATTTTCTGTCTAGGTTTTTACTCGCACCATCTCACATATAAAGCTTTTACAGCTTAGGTAATAAAAAACTGAAATAAGTAAAGGGCAAAGTAACGGACCTAGCAGTCAACAGCCCAGTCCAGCCTGGCTGAAAAAATCAAGCCCATCCCGGTAGGCCCAACAGGATGGCAGTTGTAAAGTCCATCCTCTCCATGATATGAATCTAGTCAACATGCTAGTTCTCACTTGGTGAAGATATAATAAATTTTCAAATTAACACCATCCATGCATCAATAGAAAGTTGTAAGATCAATACTGCAAGTCTGCAAGACTGCAACTAATAATATCATCCATAGAAGTTGTTATTCCCGTTTGAAATTTGCCTTAATTTGCATTTTATTGAATCATATGCTGGTTTTCCGTATATTAATCAAGAAATTTCCTTTTTTGTGCAATAAATAATTGAATGTTTGGCATTATTATTTCTGTTGAAAGTAATAATTGGTGGTAGCCTACTGTTATCTTAGTTTACTTTGTGTGCGAATAACTGGTTTTACTTGTTTTGATGTAGAATTTCCATAGACATTATTATTATTATTTTCAATATTTCTTGTGAATCAGCATTTCACTCGGCATTCCTAAGGTTTTTCATTTTTCATTTGGAATATATTTGCAAACAAATGTGGAGATGGCCGAGATTATGAAAGGGTGTGGGTTCAAATCCCATTTTCCACATTTCTTTTTTCCTTTGTTTTGGAAGAATTTCGTGCTTAGGAGCTCAGAATTCACGACTCACAACTCATTCTATAGCTTTAAAGTTGGATCTATAAATTTAACAAGCAACAAAGAAAAGCACTAATCAATCACCTAATTAAAGAAGCCCAAAAACATGGATCACATTAATTTGATTTCAGCAAAAAGCAGTAGTGAGTTTACCAGTGCTCCACTTAGACGCAGGCGGTATCTCAAAGTGCCAAAGCCTATCCACAGCCTTCACCCGATACTTTGCACACAAGAACTCCATCGCAAACTCCTTCTCAACCTTCCTATCCACATCGTGAAGTATAACATGTGTCACTCCCGGCCGCACCCTAGTCCTCGCCATCACCGCCGCCGTGAATATGGATGCCATCCGCCCCGGCGTCTCCTGAAAATAACCTCTCGGCCCGTCGATCAATATCACGTCCCACTGCTTATTATATACCTCATCCGGCATGTCACTCAGCGCTAGCTTACACCGGGTGTTACCCTTCAGGTACACGTCAGGCGGCACGCAGTGCTGCTTCGACTTGTACGTCTTCATAAGTTGATCGGCATCCGACAGGCGCGTGTTGTAGTGGACGGGTAGGACGCGTAGGGAGGGCCCGTTTGTGAGGATCCTGTGGACCCACTTGATGTCTTCCTCGAGGAATAGTGTGGTGCCACGTGGATTGAAGGAGGACCACATGAGGGAGTCGTGGCCGAGGCCGAAGATTAGGAAGTTGCAGGGGTAGAGGAGTTGGAGGACGTCGAAGGTGACTCTGATCTCGGAAGCTGTTTGCTGTGGGACCACGCGTGACGTGGCGTAGTGGAGGATCGCCAGGAACTGGCTGGGCGTCGTGTCGGAGGGGTCGGCCTGGGGCCGAAACCCCGCGAATGTGCACAGGAAGGAGGTGGTGGTGTTTCCTCCCGTTCGGCTCAAGCTCACCACCATTAGCGTTCCAGTTATGGCGACGGCGATGACCAATGTGATGAAGAATGGCTTGCCAAGGACGTTATTGCTATTGCGATTCTTCATCTCTGTATATTTATTATGAATATACGTACTTCCTCTATCTGATGAATTGGACGGTAACAATTGTTGTAACTGACTTGAACGTGATGTGAAGAGAATTGGTTATTTAGTGGTATGAGATCGGTGGAGCTTTTGGGTATCGGGGTACGTGTTGGAAATCTATCTGTTGAAGCAAAGAGTCTGCACAAAGGTCTGTTTGTTTAAAAAAAAAAAAAAAAAAAAAATGAATATTTGTTTGTCTGTAACTGTAAGTGGGCTTGTGCTTCTTAATTTGGTGAATCAGTAACTAAAGTATGTTTGACCAATACGTCCTCTATACTCGGACAGATATCTCCTCTGCGACAAGGACGTCTTCTACCGAATTAATAGCAATTAAAGTGGCAACTATATTTCGAGGATTTGGCAATCTAACTGCGTGCAAATCGTGTACTTGTTATATCTAGAATGATATAGTAAGTTAGTATTGGGATTCGAATCTCCAACGGGTGTGTGTTTGGACAATGAAGTGCAATTCTAAAACTCCCAGGGTACATATCTTTTCCATTAGTAAAAAACCAGTTTTCGGGCTCATGCTTGGAGGCCCAAACCATACACAATCCACCACTTCTGATCTCACAACAGTTGCTGCTTTTTTCTGCGCCACTGCTTGGAATTTAGGTGCAAACATAGCTTTTCAGAAATTTTGTAACATATTAAAAAGACTAGTGTAAGATAAGGGTGATGTTTAACATTATCTGACAAAATAATATTACTGTAACAGATAAGAGTCCGAGGTGATGTAAGAGCGGTTTCATCATAGCATTTTCCTATAGAAAATTGACACATTGCTCTTGTTTTTCTATTAGCATTCTATTTGAATATTTTATTTTGTTTATTTTTGTTTTAATAATTGAAGTAGAATGTAATTGTACTTTTCAGAGTGTATGGTAAGAGTAATTATGTTATTTTACTTTTTAAAAAACATACAAATTGTAAGTAAAAATAAATAAAAATTGAAGAGTGTGAATATTATCACCTAAAAAATTCGTCCCATTAACTTGAAAAAATAACTACTAATTGGATTTTTTTTTTTTTTTTGAGAAAGGAGAAGACTTTTTTCAAGTACTTTTACACCATTATTTTTAACATTACTTTGAAGCCAATGACACAACAGTTCGTTCAAGAAAAATAAAAAATAAAAAATTTCATGTAATTGTACCGTTTTGATTACTTGTAGCCTAAAGGGTAAGTGAAAAATGTTTGGACAAAATTATTATGTATCACCAATAACTGAATCTAATAAATAACTCGACGGGTCTCATCTATGGAGACGTGGCACATCACTGGCATTATGCTACGGTGTGCGTACATAATTCGTCAACACCAACAGATAAGGTTTTAATGTTCCATCTCTCCCTCTTTTCAAAACCCTATCCCTGCATTTCTCACACTAAAGCACAGCAAACCCCACACAATCACTAGTCTGTCTCTGTGCGTATATATACATATATATGTGTTTACAATTGTCTAATTTGCAGAGTGATGGCAGCGACAACTACGATTTTTAATTTGGTTGGGGCTTTGAGTGGACTCTCGTTATCTTCAAGCTCATCATCTTCGTTCTTCAAAGGAGACTTTGGATCGATCAATGTAGGGCACAAGGCATCGGTGTCGTTTCCTCTGCAATTTCCATTGACGATTGAGTCTGCACACAAGAAAGGTGCAGGAAGTACCAAGAACGGTCGAGATTCCAAAGGGCAAAGGCTTGGCGTCAAGATTTACGGTGATCAAGTCGCCAAGCCCGGCGCGATTATCATTCGGCAGCGCGGAACTAAGGTTTGATCATTAATCTCTCATTGAGTTGATTTTTAGCTTTTTGAGACCTGAATGATTCTGAATTTTCTGATATGCACAAATATAATTTGATTCATCTTCTAATTGTAGCTCAATTTCCTTTCGTTTTTGTGTTATCGCATTCGCTGCAATTTTGATTGAAAAATTCAAAGTTGTATGACTATGTTCTCGTAGTTGTTTCTGCTTTTCCTTTACGCAGTCGTGAAAAACCTCCGGCAAACGTTCTTGGATATTGGATTATTCATGTCTAAACATGAAAGAAATGATTACATATGGTAGCCCTAGCCGCCACAAGTAGGTCATAAGACAAAAATGCAAGAAAGAAGCATAGGTAAACAAGTGAATACTGAATTCATATCCATCAGCTGCTCTGTTATGATTTCTTCTGACATGCACATGAATGAGAAGAAGCAGATAATAATATATAGTCAAAAGTTCTACGAAATTTGTTTTTAATTGCATAAAAAATGACCTTATCTCAATAGGATTATAGAACGTGACCTTTGCATCAGTTAATCCAAGTTCAATATTTATGAACTCCAATACTCATGGCACATGTTGAAGCTACTGCTTCTAGTGACTTCTAGCTGTGTGCATTTGTTGTGTATTAATGAAAAGATGTTAATGTTTGCCAAAATGCTGTTTTTCACTGTTCTACCACCAGGATATAAGTAATGAGAGTGTCTCACATAACATATTATGGCTTTCTAGAGGCGATAACTTAGTTTACTGGGATTCCTAAAAAAGATTTAAGACATTTCAGGTCCAGGATAATAATATTAAATTCTTAATACAATAGTCATACAAGTAAGAATCACTGCTCTCTTTTATTTTACGGTCTCCTCCACATTTATACATGACTGAGCCACATAAGGTGTGATACCTTTATCTCCTTCCAAAGTGGCCCTCTTGGCTTGGTTTGTGGTTGGGAAAAGTAGTTTGACAGTGGACCATTTTATAAGTACAAAAATGGTAAATAGATGTCTTATGTGCGGAGGTAGCGGCCAATACAGCTCTTCTCATTCAGGGCACAAAATCTTTGGGTTTCCCAAACTTTAAGACGTGATGGAATTTTCTGGCAAGTGAATTGCTCTCAGGTTGGTAGATTAGGGCCGGCAATGGAAGGATTATTTTTTTCAAAAAGGAGCTACTTCACAGTGTAGTGCTTGGAAGAGAAATAGGCAAACATCTAAGACATTGAGTGCTGAGAGCTAAAGTGAAATTCATGGCGCTTGGGAACTTTTTCCTTGAGTAGCCATTGAAGAATAGCAGAGATACCAGTTCTTCTTTTGGTTGTATTAGTTACCTTATCTTTTTATTGGTTAGTCCTCATGGGTTCATGAACATGACCCATTGAGCTTTGTCCTTTCCTTTGTTGTAGTAGTTCTTGTTTCCCAGTGAAAAAATTGTGTGAAAAATGAGGCAGCTTGAGTCCAATTGGTACCTAGCAAATGAGATTTGATCTTTTACTCTTCACTTATGGTCTAAATGCTGGATGGTCAAAATCGCTGTGCTGGTCATGGAGCTTATCAGTAGCTGGCAATGGGGTTGTCCACAAAATACTAAGGCTTGGAAGCAGTGCCCTTATGCCTTGTGTTGTCTCTCTAAAGGGACAGACTCGCCCTTGAGGAAAAGTATTACCTGTTCATCAGATGAAAATATATATATTAAAGACTTTGTGGTTTTAAAACTCATGGGGAGTTCCATCATTGCATGATTCTTTGGGATGTGGGCTTTCTTTGAAGTTCTTTTTGTTTGAAACTGTATATCTGTTCAAATGTGGTGCTTCTCTGGCTTCTATTTTTTCCTTCCCTCTCTTCACATCTCTTGATTTTTTTTCTTATCAAAAGAAACAAGCTAAGGGAGTTTCTTATGGATAGTTTGATGATTATCGGCGGAGAGAGGTTCTAGCATTCTACCACCGGGCCATTGGCCCAGGTGTACGAGCACTCCTACCCAAAGAGGAGGTGAGCAGTTTGAGCCCCAGTTGTGACAGTGGTGTGTGTATGCACGTGTTGCTTACCTACCTAAAAGAAAAAGGAGACTCTAGCATTCTGTGTTATAAATCATGGACAAACGTTGCTCAACATTTCACCATAACTTAAACCTAGTGATCGAAGTTCCACTTCGATTATTTAAAAGCAGGATCGATGGGACTATTCTGAATTGCTTTAACATCCTTTTCAAGCTCTCAAAGGTCTAAATTCGTACTTATTCCACTTCTGATGGCAGACATAAGATGCATGGTTTACACTTTTATCTTGTGGACTCCATGCGCTAAATGCTAGAAACATGTCTGGTGGGTTTATGTGTTAAAAGGAATTTTGAGGTTCTGTTTGATGATTCCACTTTCCTAGGCTCTTGAATGGCAGTGTGAAGTAGATTGAAGGGGAGAAACATTGGGAAATTATTAGATGATGAAACCCCACCATAGAAACACATTGGATGATCAACTGGATTTATTTGGAAGAAAAATCCTTTTTTTCTTTGCCTTTGTCTTTCTTTTTCTTTTTTTCTTTTTTTTTTTTAAACTTATTTTTGATAAGTTTTTTCTTTTTTATTTCACCTCTCCAAAAGGAAAGCTTAATTTTGAATCTTGCAATGTTGCTAGAACACCTTGATGAACCTAGGTGGTATGTCAAGCTGGTAGCATAGTTGTTGGCAGCTAATTAGGCGCCTTGGTACTTCTCTGGATGCTGTCTGAATTTATTCACTACACCACTAGGAAATCTGCCTGCATAGTCATGCAGAACCTTGTTGAGAAGATTAATACAGTGGCTAATCATAGGTTACCATCCCATGAATGTTTCTATGTATCATTTTAAACTCAATTTAGTCAAGTTTCAAACAGAAAAAGAATACAGTTAATTGATAGGTATTGTTGCTATTGAGTCTCTATCTACTGTAGTGCATGCAAATTCATAATTCACAGCTTTTCCTTTTTATTATGTTCTGTGGGTTGGGTGGTCATTTTGGCTTATAGGATGCCTTGCATCATATACCGGTTATATTGACGTCCCAAGTATAAACAAGTTTCAGTTTGCCTGTACCTGTTGTGTATGTTTTCAGCAGGTTTGAGGGGAGTGATCTTACTAACTTCCGTTCTTGCTGATGGCTCTCCCAGTTATCCCCGTAAACATAGCATGCCATTAATCTTTAACATCGATTACATAATGCATATTTACCTGAATTATATAGCCTATACAATAGTTCCACAGCAAAACTTATTCTTCATAAGCAATTGCCTTAATTTTTCTCCATGACATTTTCAGTTCCATCCAGGAAAGAATGTTGGGCTTGGCAAAGACCATACTATCTTTTCCTTAATTGATGGATTGGTCAAATTTGAAAAGTATGGGCCTGACAGGAAAAAGGTCAGCTTTTAATGTTCTCAATTTTTTATGCTTAGGAAAACTAGGCATTGAACCTAACTCAGATGTGCTTTCTGTAATCTCCAGGTGAGTGTTTATCCGCGTGTTGTGCAGCCTGAAAACCCCAACAGTTATAGAGTGAGGAAGAGAGAGTCCTTCAGACTGCAGCGTGAACGCAGGAAAGCAAGAAGGGAAGGTATTGTTGACCAGCCCCAGCTAGTACTCGCTTCAGCCAGTGAGAATGCAGACAACAATCCAGTTTGCTGATCTTGGAAGGTGTCTTCTATTCTGAATTTATTGCTTTAAAATGTAAACAGACCATGTAGACCAAGGTTTCCTTCACTAACTTCCTATCATTCTTTTTGCATTTGTTGTTATTCTTGTTGAGAAGTGAAGACCTTACTGATTTCAAGTGGCAACTACTTTCAAAATCATTAGGTGTTGCGTTCATCATTTTCATTGAAGAAGTGAGCATAAACAGGGGCGGCTGGAGCCTTAGGCGGTAGTCTAAAGCCTAAAGCCTAAAGCCGCAGCAATAAGAAGGTCCCATAATTTTTTATTTTTTTATATATTATAACTTTTCTAAAATAATTATAGTATTTCCTTTAATTATTAAACTTTAACGCATAGAGAAATTTGACAGTTGACATAAAAGATTTATATTCTTTATCTTTTTTTTGAGGGCCCCCAATTTTTTTTTTCTTTATATATTACAACTTACCTAAATATTTTATTTTCTTATATTATTAAACCTTAACAAATACAAAGTGTGTCCAAAATATTTCTATCGTATTATTATAATTTTTTTTTTTTTTTTGGCTCTCTCACCCTCATTACATCAGTATGTATACACACTAATTATTAAATATATATTAGTGAAAATTGGTGAAATTTTTTATATTTTTCTAAAACTCCTATTAACCTTTTTTTTTTTTTCACTCATATTTTTTCTCCTCTCTCATATTATATATATATATATATATATATATATATATTTTCATCTTCTCCACTGTTATAATTTACAATCTCACTCTGTAAAATAAGATTTTGAATACACTTATATTCTATTAAAGAATTTATTGGAGTATTAGGCCAATTTATTCGAAATCGGTTTCTATTATTCTATAACTTAAATTAGTTTATAGTTTTATTAATTTTTGTTATCATAAAATTATATATTTTGTTTATAATTTTTATTTATATTGTTAAATGTGACTATTAGAAAACACATGGCCAATATTAATGATTTTACTAGAGTTTGGAAAAAATTTAGTGATAGGTTTAAAAATCACAAAACAAATAATTAGCATAATATTGGCATAAATATATGAGTAAATTTAATTAAAAGGTCACTTTATTTTTTTCGCTTAAGGCCTCGAATAACATTGAGCCACCCTTGAGCATAAAGATGCTGAGTTTTTATGTCAAATGTAGTAAGTTTAAAAATGTTCACATCAAATATGATAAGACTTTGTATAGCTAGGGTTCAACTGAATAAGTAATGTAATTGAGAGAAATTGATGGACTAGGACAATTCCCAGGGCCGCACTACCCAAGTCATTATTGTTCGGACTCAGAGAAGAGGCATTTTGGATGGTGCATTGGTGTGTCATGAAAACACTGTTTATGACATCTTAAGCATCTGGGACAAATAAGATCTGCATTGTAAGGTTGCACAACTATATTATGGATCATTTTAATTTTGCGACAGAAAAAAAAAATTATGCGTTTGACATATACCACAATAGAGTGCTTCTGACAAAGGCCAAAAATCTTTGAAAAATGACCAAAAATATCATTTAGCGATTGGTAGTGCTGCTCCTAAGTGTGTTTGTTTTTTCCTGCGGGTGTAAGAAGCTGCTCCTAAGTGTGCTTTTTCCTGCGGGGGTAAGAAGCAGGCCTCAGCTGAATTTTGGTTTCCAATGCTCTTTCAAATGGCCTCTCAAAAGACCTCTCATATTTTTCATATAGCAACTCTCAAATAACCTCTCAAACTCAAAATATAAATTTATTATAAAAATATAGCATTTTGCATTAGAGATGCTTTTACATATTCATTGGGCCTCGCCCTTTACATATTCATTGGGCCTCGCCCTGGGCAGGCCTGTCGGGTCTTTCCCTGAGAGTGGCATTTCTTTCCGTTTGTCTTTTGACTTGCAAAGCAATATTTTGGTTAAATAACGTTATTTAAAATAATAATAATAATTTAAAAAAAAAAAAAATTTACCGAGAGTTTTTTGTTTTTTAAAAACGAAGACACCATGAAATGTTAAGACGCTGTCTCTCTAATATTGGGTAGCCAATTACGAATGACATAAATTAACAAATAAAATGAAGATAGTAGAAATTGTTGATCCATACAATACAATGTATGTTTCCACTCATGTTTCTGGAACCTCATCATAATGGAGAAAAAACTAACTCAAATCAATCTGTCGAGCTCAGGTTTCGACCGCAGAAAGCCATAAAAGAAACCAAATACAACATAGGAACGAAACTACAAGTATTCTGTTTTATTAAACTCATCATCTAGCAACCAATATGACATTGCAATGGTTCATGCAATGAAATTGGTCCATTTAACCACCGAAGTGGCATCTCTTTCTCTTCCAAATGGAAAGTTGAGAGTTTCAATCATCAGAACAAGAGTGTTTTTCACTTGACTTACCCCAAAATGAAAAACGACCAGCAAAAAAGTCAACCAACTAACAACAGCACCGAACAAAAAAGGGGCAGAGACTGTTATATCAGTAAGAAAAGTTTTAAAAACAAAACAGAAGGCTAGTTCTCCAGAAATTTAACTATTCTCAAAAGGAAAATTTCCTACAGAAAGTGAACCGTTCCTCCCTGTGTATTTTGCAGCTTCATTTTCCCATGACCTACAGTTTTAAAAATAATCATAATTAGTAGCCCCAGAATAGCAAAAGGCAAGGATATAGTTGAAACAAATTAGTAACTTTTTCAACATTATTGTACAAATTCAGTACATAATTTTTCTTAATAGAAAGAAAACAATGAATATACAAATACACACAGCAAGATACACGTGTGAAAACTCCTACTTCAATCAAATCATGCCCTTTTATTATTGAAGTATAGCGTAGCTACTATCATATGTAAGTTCTTTTCCTTCAGAGTGAGTTTATCTATGATAGGTGTTCCCCACACACAACCAAAACGGCAAATATAATACTATTAACGGACAACTCACCAAACCCCTGAGGAGGAGGTCTTCCCTTCAAATAATCCTGGGGTTCGAGGAGGTCTTCCCCGCAGATAAAGCTACTTAAAATCCCGAGGCATTCTTTCCCTTGGATAAATCTCGAGTTCAAGTTATTTTCTGCAGATAAACCTCGAGCTATTTAAAATCCCGAGGAGCTCTTCCCCTCAGATATACCTCGGGTTCGAGTAGTTCATTCTATCAGATAAAATCTCAAGCCACTTAAAATCCTAAAGAGCTCTTCTCCTCAGACAGGTTCAAGTAGTACTTCCCAACTGATAAACTCGAATGAACTCTTCCCCTCAGATAAACCCTGATCTACTAGGAGCTCCAAAGGCACCGCTCACAACTGCTAGGGCGCCCTTGGGCTAGAGTCACTCAACAGAATACTAAACCTAGGCAAGGATGGGAATTAAAGTTCGTCCCTACACTCGTGTTCGACCTAAACCCAAGGATGGGAACCCATGTGCCTTGACAAGGACCTCTAAAAATACATGACTTTGCCCCAACCACCGCCATTAATGCTCAACCAATCACCATTAATGGGGATATCAGAAAAGCACTCTACAAGGAGTAGTTAGGGGGGAGATAAGATCCAAAGAACCAACAAGTAACTAATGGACCGATGAGAACATTACCCAACGGACTTTGACCAGCCACTAGGATGTTAAGGCCAAGTCCAGGACAGCAAAGGCAGGTTGTCTTGCCATTACTCCACCATTAATACCAGATTCAATACCCGTAAGAATCCTTGTCTGAAGCACATCCTATTCCTGCCTTCCTTCAAATCCCATGTGTTCGTTTGGTTTTTCCCCTTCTTCCACCTCACCTTCTTATGGTCTCATTATTATAATTGTTTGTGATATAACCACATTTATCATTAGTCTGTTGTATTGGAGAGCCTACAATCCATAGATGTAAGAGATATGCATATCCTTGCAAATTTGCACTCAAGCCATTCGATTTAAAAGAAATATAGGATTATCCCTCTTAAAACCTACAACCTAAATGAGAACCAAAATAGAGGGAAGGGAACAAAGGTTGATGAAAGGAAAAAAATTTAATGACCAGCAATGTCAAGTGCTAACCATTCTACCCAAATTTTAGGGTGCATGAAGGCTACAACTATTGAATTTAAAAATTACCTCAAGTTGCATCCAAAAGTAAAAATTGCTTCCACTGGGAAGTGAGGCTAAGGTTAATCATTGAATTAGCTGCCATTGTCAATTAAATTTAAAGAGTGGAAAGATGCACTAAACTGCTTGTGTTCAATCATCAGTTTTGAAAAACTAAGAAACATAACTTTTTAAACACATAAAATAGCAGAAGCTATGTTCAATATATAAAGGAAAAGACAATTTTCTCCAATCCAACAAAAAGCATTTTGTAGGGTTTGTAGCAGCCATGTAGACCATATTCTCAAAGTTACTTCAACACTTTTTTCTTTTTAAAAAAAAATATTCTTTTTGCAAGTCACACTAGGGCTACAAGTTGGGCTGGCGCAAACCAGTCCAGTCCCAACCCAACCTCAACCCAAAGTTGGGTTGGGTTCGGCCAACTAGATGTAAAAAAAGGTGGGCTCTAACAGTAACCCGAATTTGAATGCGTTCGGGCCAGAGGGTCTGACCCGTTCAACTTTTTTTTTTTTTTTTTAATCTTTATCTTACAAACAAATATGCAAATTACATTGTTTCTTTTTCCCGTTTGAAACATCAAATTTTTAATTCATTACTAATATTTTTTTATCAAGTATTCAATTATTAATTTTTATGTTTTTTCAACTCTAAATTTATTTTTATTAATACAAAAATATAAAACTTACCTTATTTTATTTAAAAGTAAGAAAACTTTTCTTTTTTATTTGTTATTAAATAAATTTATATTTTTAAATTACTCCAAATAAAACCCTAAGGGTCCATTTGGTTAGCGTCAAGTAAACAGAAAAGAAAAGAAAAGGAAAATATTTAAATTTTTTGGAAGTTTGGTTAGAGGGAAAGTGAAAGTTTTGGGGAAAGTAGGATTCCCGCATCTAAAAATTTTCCTAAGAACTTTTCGTGCAAAAAACACAGGGAAATTCACTTTCTCGCAAAACTTGTGCACTTTATATATTACTTTCCTATTATACCCATGTTAATTGTCTCTCTTTTTCTTTACTTAATTACATAGACTTCTTTGAAAAGGAGAGTTTCTTTCTTCTATAAATTGCTTTTTTATAAAATCATGTATTACTAATTAAATTGTTTAGATTTTTTTATATGTGCATCCAAAATTAATTAATTTTTTCCTTTTATTACTGAATTATTTTTTTTCATTTTTTTTTGAAATGTCTTAAATAAGTAAAATATTTTTTTTCTATAATCGATAATGATAAAGAGTTATTATATAGATACATAACTATTTATTGATAATAAGAGTGTTAGGTGAAAACTAGTCTACATTATCTTAACATAATTTGTTTCATACCTAACATCAAGCATTATCTTGAAATAAATAATTGATGATTCATAAATAATTTACATAATCTGTCTATGACTTTATTTTCTCAGTGAGAAAGTTGTAATTAGATATATAGTATCTAGTTACATAATTTACAAATAAATAATAAATAATAAAATTAAAACTAACGTAAAGAGGAAATAAATACTTGAACTTTGATAGTCCACTCTACCAAAAGCTTATTTTTCTTACCTTAAAAAATAAAAGATCGAGAATTCAAGTCTACACAGGAACAGAATATATATAGAGAAAGGAGAAATCAAAAAAAAATTGTATTATGCTATCACAAACTATTTTATTCATATTTCACTATTTCCTTACTAAAATAAATAATTAAGTATACATAATATTTATCAAACATAAATTTATTTATTTTTTTACTATTTAAAATTATAAGGGTATTTTCGGTAAGTAGTATCATTTTCTTTTCCTTTTCATGCCATCCAAACTAATAAAATAATATTTTCTTACAACTTTCTTCAAAATATTTCCTGTTAACCAAATGCATGATAGAAACTTGATTTTCCTTTCTTTCACTTTCCATAAAATTTTCTGTCTAACCAAACAGACCCTAAAACAATTTGTGTACATGGGAAATCTTTGCACAAGCCCCCAGCAAATGCCCCGGGCCGGAGGGGGAGGGGGGGGGGGGGGGGGGAAGCACCAACCAGTAATAGTAGCGAGATGCTGCCGGAACTACGACCCAAAGGGTCGCTTCCTTACATCAACAACCAAGGTGCCATACGGCAACTATTATCCTTCTTCTCCGGCAAAGCATTCTCCTGTCCGGTGCAGGGTTCCAGTCGCTGGAAATAGGAGTGACCCTACCGCTGTTGCTTCTTCTGTCAACCAGGTTGCTGGAGAGCGACCTGGTGTTCGTCTTGGACGGCGACACAAAGTCACCGTCAATGACCACCATTGTCACCGGCGGAGACCAAAGAGGTTGCCCTTGGCGGCAACCGCTATCTCCAAACGGCAACTCCTTGATCCTTTTCTCTATTTACCAATTTCTCTCTTCAATCACATATATAGATAGAAATATATATATATATATGTCAAAGATTCAGTAAATGATATAAACCCATGTATAGATACATGTATATATCACAGATTTGGAAGGTGAAAAAAATATATATGAAAGTTTTTTTTAATTTTGGGTTTTGGGTTGGGTTCGGGTCGAGCCAGAACCCAACCCGAAAAAGTCTGGCCTTTGAAAACCCCTAACTTGATTTGGGCCCGATTTGTGAATTTAAAATCCCAAGTCTCAAAAATTTCGGGCTAGGTTGGCCAGCCCAAGTTGGGCCCCTAAGTCACACACCCCCCATTATTGTGGGAACTTGAAACTTTAATCTTTCATTTGGAAGGAGAAGGGAGATACCACTTGGACAAAGCCTCAGTGGTTCAAAAGTAGGGTTTTTGAATTTGGGACGTGAACCAGGGACCCAAGCAAGATGAGAGCAAGGAACCCAAGTTTCATGTAGGTGCCCATAAACTTAATTTAATATTTAATATTCTGTTTTTGGAATGAATGACTGACTGCATAACCTTGCAGTTTGAATGTGAATGTTCCCACTATGCATGTCTGAACATCTGGTTTATGCAACAAGCAATTTAGTTTCAAAGCATTGCTTCGAACAAAGAAAGTCACTGTAAAAATTTGGGAGTCTTTGCCAATAATGCAATAAAAACTGGATAACATCATTGTCAAATAAAAAAAAAAACCACGAACATGACCTTGTAATGAATACTCATATCATGTACCATGAAAGCTGATATAGACACATTTACATGCTCCATCCAGAATGATAAGATTTTTGGATAAAACCCAACCAAGCCCTCAACACATTAGTTAGCCAAGTTTTATAGATGAACACATGCAAGAGATTGAATTAGTTAAGTAGACAGATTACAGCTTATACTGCAATGAGAAATTCACAGCCCAAGTTGTAATGATTATTATTCATCAACATAAACTTCTAAAGAATTTCATGTCAGTCCTAAAAAAAAAGAAAAGAAAAAAATGTCGACCAGCCTGCCTTCCATTAACAATGTTTACATCAATATAACACCATCCTCAAACATCCATGAATATCATTCATTACTGTCATAGAAGGGTGGATACAGGAAAACAAACAATATTTCAACTTTTGTATGGTCCTAGTTCTGAAAGGTATCACTTGTCCAAACAGAACTGTATTACCTCTAAACTACAAAATAACAAGACAGAGATCATATAAAGAAAAAGGCTTCGATAAACAAAACTTCTTCATAAAAACACATAAGATTTTAAATTAACCATACAAAATTATGATTAAATTCAAAGAACCACAAAGCTACAATCAACTCGTTTTTATAGAACAAAAAACAACCTCAAGAACAGAAGAATTCGAGACTGCAATTGCATGCGGTAAGTCTCAACCAGATACATGGTGATAATTACTTCAAATAAAAGAAATTAAAAGAAGTGCATTATATACGGAATTGAAGAGCATGTGAAGAACATTACCTCAAACAGATCCGACGATGATATTGTTGATAGGGATGAAAATCAGCTTCACGAAGAAGCCAACGAATCCCATCACCACGAATCCAATCGCCGTCCGGAACGCCACCTTCGTAAATTCTACAAGTCAGAACAGTATATCTCAGATCAGATCATTCAATCAAAGATTATAGCATCATGCCCAATGAAGAACAAAAGCGAGATCGACTGAAACCCTAAGGCATAAAAGCAATTAAAGATATATATGTTGTTACCTTTGCGATCGGGCTTGTGGCACCTCTTGACCAAGCGAACGCTGTCCTTGGCGAACTCTCTTAATGGATCGAATACGGAATCTAGGGCATCCATCCGTTGTATTTCTTGAGAGAGACGAGAACAACAAATGGAGAGAGCTCAGATCTGAATGTTCAACAATCTAATAAATTCATCAGTGAAATAGATATACCCCACCAGGGATGGCAATGGGGCGGTTTGGGGCGGGTATTCCATTCCCCATCCCCGCCCCGTTTAATTTTGGTACCCCGAAATTGCTCCATAATTATTTAAGTTTTTGCTTCTAATTCTCGTAACCGCCTCCCACCCCATAACCCGTTAAATTTAAAATTTTCAAATTTTTTGATATTTTGATTCTACACAAGTTCTGTAGAATCACATAAATCTGAGAAAGAAAATAGTATCAATCTGCAGCACCACATAAATCTGCAGAACCACATCATCGTCGTATCAATCCCACAATAAAATCAGCCATAAAATAAATAAATAAAAGAAACCCCTAAGTTATCATAGATTGAGAAAGAAAATGGAAATAGATTCGTAAAATGGAAACAATATTTAGAAACCCCAATTTATCGGGAAAAAAAGGAATGTTTTGTATTTTAGATAGAGATATCAAGAAGAAGAAGCAAACATATTTAAAAAAAAAACTAAAACAAAAAATATAGAATTATTGCCTATTGGATCTCTGTGTATAAAGAGAGAAAGATATATAGCTAGATGAAGACAATATCTAACCCTAACCCAAGTATCTCTTTAAATCCTACAGACAAAGGTGGAAAACACTGAATCAAACCCATCAAATCCATGTAGGTGAGTTCAATCTTTATTACAGAAACAGACCAAAAAAGGATAAAGACAGAAAATCTATGTATAAAAATTACCAATCTATGAAGCCAAGACCTAGAAAGAGTAGCAAAACTGAGGGGATCTTAGAGAAATACCTTTTGGGATAACCTTCGACCACTAAAGAAACCACATATACTGGGATTTTGTAAAAAATCGATGGTCAGATCTATCAGTGTCGGATATAGCGTATGAAAGTGAAGTCTGAAACTGAAAGTGAAATCTAGGGTTTCAATATATATATATATAGTGAATGTTAATTTTGTAAATATATTAACATGGAAGGTTATACTAGCAAGTTAATATATTAATCGGGGCCGGTTTCAGGGCGGATGCGGGGTGGGGATCTGAGTCCCTCACAACCGCCCCAAAACTGGCCGGTTTTTTTTTTTTTAACTCCCATCCCCACCCCATTTAAGTAAACGGTTCTCCAAACCCGCTTTAAATAGGGTTGGGGCGGGGCGGTTCCCCACCGGTTTGGGGATTTTTGCCATCCCTACCCACCAATTTTAGTTTTTCAGTTGCCTTTGACGAAAATATCCCTAATGATACAATAGTTTGACCATTTAGTCCATATTAACTATTAGAGGGTCAACGACGTCGTGTTAGTCGGATTCTTTGTTTTTTAGTTTTTACTTTCTAAACAAGCCATGACTATAAATAAGTGAGGAAAATAATAATGAGTAAATTACACGGACTTTCTTATATGATTTGTTACAGTTATAGGAATTTCTCATATGATTTGAAAAATTACTTGAACCTCTCTTAAAAATAAAATTAGCTTACACGGACCTCCCTTCCTAGTGACAAATAGTTAATTGCACTAACAAGCTTGTCTAATTTTTTGAAATGCCCTCAACTTTCTATGATAAAGGATTAAAGTGTGACGTTCCGAATTTTCACAACCCGAATAAGTCAATGCGACCCAAAAATTGACCCGATAATTGATTTGGAATGCGAAAGCGGAAACAAGAACAAATGCGGAAACAAAAAGGTGAAAATAGACCAAGTATGTTCCCGAGGGCAAAATGGTCATTTCACATGCAAACAAAGTCTCAAGTGATGTACGTCATTCCTAAGACACAAACATGGCTTCCCATGAAGCCACGGAACATAAAAGAAACAAAATGCGGAAGCGAAGTTTTAAAAATAAAAAATAAAAAAGGGATAGATAACGAAAAATTAACGAAGTTCTAAAAAAAGTTCACCCAAAACGGAGTCCGGACGAGGGAGAAAAGACTTGACGAAAAATCGACGTCGCGGCGGCCAAAGGGGCTGTTGCCACCTTCTATGTGCCCAGAAAATTCTGACTTCAAACGTAATTTTGGACCCCGAAACGACCTTTTTTTGGAAAAACACGAAAAAGAAACATCCCTTAGCATAAATTTTCCAAGTTCACTATGTTGAAAGAAAATTTTATTTTTGACCTAAAATACCCAAAATACCCTTGAGATCACGCTTTTTTTCTTGAAGAAGTGCGCACCAGGAAATCAGATTTGACGCGGGATTTTGAAGGCCGAGACGACATTTTTTTGAAAAAAAGTTGTGAAGAAACCCCCCTAAAATCACATTTTCTAAATGACTATGTCAAGATCGGAATTTATTTTAGAAGAAAAATTCCCAAAATGCCCCTAAATTATATTTTACGAAAAATGTAAAAATAAGAGCAACCAAGAGTTCAAATGACTAAATATGAAGTTGTGAGCTAAAACGATTGTGCACTCAAACGTAATAAGTGTTTTGAAGTGTGTAGGAATGGTTTATGACCCCCAATTATGTCCAATGCAAAATCCGACCTATTAAACCTCAAAAATGCCTTAAAATGAAAATTTTTAAGCCTACCATCAACCATAACATGCAACCATGATATTTTGTGCAATGTGATCATTCTAGCAAGTGTAATATACATAATAAAATTTATTTGAATGGCCCATTGCCTCAAAATACACCATATGCAAAATACGACATGTCCAAGCCCCAAAATCATGAAAAATGGCACTTTTAAGCGAAATTTGAAGTCAACCATCATTGATGCATTCAAAGAATTGTTTGGCCCATGGCCACACGTCATATATGGTATAAAAACACTATGAAAAATGATAAAACATAATTCCCACCATCCAAGCTGAAATTGTCATGTTAAAGTTTCGCATTTTTCAATTTTTCTCATTTTTAAGCATAATATCAAATAGCATAAAAGTAAAGCATGAGGTCCTTAGCCCTTGGCCTCGTCACATACATGTCAAAGAAGTCTCAAATGATGAATTTAGGTACTTATTACATATCCCAAATAGAAGCTACGAGTTTTGATATATTTAACCAAAAATAAAAGCAAAATCATGCTAGTAAGTGCATGAATGGAAATACTCCAATCTTATCAAGCCATAAACAAGCTCAAGGGTGTTGTACATCCCTAAAGTAAGGTTCTTTACCTGAAAAATGTCCCAAACAACGAAGGTGAGTAAACAATTTACTCGTAGGAAATGAACATGCGTATAACCTAAAGTTTTGTAAGTCTTTATAAGTTGATATAAATAAATTCATGTGATTCATGCCACCTAACGTCTATGTCCAATGTGAGACTAATGGATCATCCTAAGCTACATTAGAACATCCACATCATAAACCACAATATATAAGCAATTAAACAATATTGAAATATCAAATGCCAAATAACAAAATATAAATTCACAAAGTAAATAACTTGGAATTTAAAATGCGAAATCAAATAAGCGGAAGGACCAGGACATGCGGTTACAAGACCGAGCAAGCTGTTATGGGTAATTATGATCATCAAGGAGCTACCTAGTGTGCACTTGTGACTAAGAGAGACCGTGTCTCCGTACTAGAGCCAAAACCTAGCCATCACATAAACTTACGTCCCTATAAGCCTTTCAAAATCAATAAGTTATACACCACAAGTATATACATATATACTAAATGCACATAATCAAATACCACACACAACCAAGATGTGGGAACACACAAAACATTCCCTAAGTCCTCAACTATAATGGCATGTAATATAATAGACCTTAAAAATATGGATAATTTACACAGACCTCCCGTATGGTTTGTCATAATTACAGGCGGCACCCTTCCTGTTCATGAAATTACGCGAACCTCCCCTACTTTTGAAAATATCCTACAAGGACCTCACTTCTATTAAAGTCAACGGCAGTCAATGACGGAAAATGATGACATCAGCTACTATTTTTTATGAAATGCCCAAAATACCCTTATCCCTACCAATTGATATATATATATATATATATAGATCTGTAATGATCTATCCCTTTCACAATATGATTTGATTTGGTTTATAAAGATTATGAAGTGATTATGGGGAGTCAAGGAAGAGATCAAAAGAAACAAAATTTGTCCATAGCTCTTCATCCTAATCCGGAATCACAGACTCGTTACTCCGACGCCATCTTAAATGGGATAGAGGTCTTATTGATAATAAATTTGAGATTGATCGATTAAATTAGGGTTGCTATTCATCGAATCTGTCAGTCCCGAACCATTTTGCATCTTACCTAAATAGTACGAAAGGAGAAGTGAGTGTGAAATCAGGGCTTTAGGGTTTGGGACTTTTTTTTTTTTAAAAAAAAAAACAATTAAACGGCCATTTTTGTCTGTTTGTCCGAGTCTAGGCTATCCTATTCTCTCTCGCACACACATGTATACACACACAGTCGTCGCATACACACATATACATACAGTAAAAAACAAACTGTGTTTTGGGTCTGAGAGATGAAGATGAGTGAAGTTGAGCAACATCAAGAGTTGGAAGGTGATGTTGATTATGATGAAGAGATAGTTAAGAAGGAATAGGCAGTATCAGAGAAGACACTCAAATCTAAGGAAGATAGTGCGAATCTCGACACCACTTCCTCCATGGTTTCTCTCTCTTCTCTCTCTCTCTCTATATATATATATATATATATATATATATATATATATATATATATATATATACGAATTTCTTTAATTAATGTTAGATCTGGATTGTTATTGGCAGGGTAGATTGAAGAAGCCGAAGGTGATGAAGGATTATACTTTTGAATCTTTAATAGTCAAGAGGAAAACGGCTTCAGGTTCCAAATTAAAGCAGGTGAGGGTTGATTTCTTTACCATCATTGTTAATTTTTCTTCTAAAACTTTATATCTCCTTCTAAAACTTTATATCTTTGTTTTTTTCTTCTTAATTATTGAATTTGTTATTTCTTGTTAATAGCTTACTTCGATTGATGCTCACTGAACTGCTGCTAATCCTTTATACCTATCTAAATTATCAT